CATTGAACCTTCACTGCGATGTTCTGTTTACACATGGATAGAACTATTATAGAACATCCAATGTCCGCCACAGGCGGTATTATCGAGATGTCCTTGGTATGTCACAAAACTACCTTCTCCCTAGTTTTTTTAAGCCTTTTCATGGACACAACAGAACATTTTCAACGCGTCTTGCGCACATTAAATCGCTGTAAAAAACATTTTCGAGGTACTTTCCTGAAGCCTCTTGTCAAAATGAACTTTTGCATTAGGATTCCATTTCCCTTGAATGAAAAAATGCATTAAAAATAGATTGAACATAAAAATATTTTCTTGATATGAAATTACCTTCTTAATCGGTTTCTGAGTAATGCTTACTACACACAGACATATAATTGGTAAGAGGTTTCCCAATTTTTGGAATGTTCTCCACAATGCATAATTTTGCAACTGCGGAGAAGCTGTGTATTGATGAATTCGTACTTTCATATATTGATTACACTGAGGCACCGAACAACACATCTTGCATCTGATGGTCATTATTACAAACTAAGTAAGTCTTCTAACACAATAAACTTCACCAAATTTCTTTCTGTTCGTTATCAGCGTGATGTAAGCGTGACACGCTGCAAACGCGAATGCTAATTGCGAACAAGAAGAACAAAATCGAAAACAAATCAGAATTCATCGTATTGTGACGAGAGCATGATACGTTGTGGTGGGGCAAACAAAGAGAGGGCACGAAAGAACAAAAACAATACTTTCAATATCCTTTCAAGACCTCTTTGAGAAGTGCATATTACGCGTCAAAAAACATCCTCATGCCTACATTTCTAAAACATCCCAAAACATCCCAGGGATACCTCTCAGTAGGCACACAAAGAACGAAAACAATACTTCAATATCCTTCAAAGACCTCTTTGGTCAGTGCATATTACGTCTCAAAATAACATCTTCATGCCAACATTTTCAAAACATCCCAAAACATCCCAGGGATGTTTGTGCTCGCTGGGGAACGGATTAATTTTTTCACTACTATGAGTCAGAACTCCATATTGAGAGAATTTCTGAAATAGAGGATGGTTCGATTGATGCCATATTCAGAACGTCTTCTATTCCATAGTTATATCAAGGAAATGAAATATTTGTTCGTTTGTTTGATTGAATGATGGAAATAAGTATAGATGATGCGTCATTCTTGTGTATTGAGAATTAAAACAAAAATACTCAACCGCTTACTATGATTTCTCTCGAGCGAGACGTTGAACATATGAAGAAGTGGGTTTATTCTACTCGAAATTTGAGAAATCTGCCGCAAAAATTGTTCTCGAAAGGCCAAGAAGAATTTCTGAAAAAAAAGCGCAATAGGCAGTACACCAATCCACCTATATTCCATCATTTTCGTTTAATTGTTTGTTTGTATCGAATATGCTCCAAAAATACTGGATGAAACGCGATTGGGTTAAAATTTTATATGAATATTCCGATTCTTTTCTAAAGGGCACTTTATATCTTCAAGGCATTCGATCTAGTCTGGCACCACGGACTCCTCGCCATGCTTCCATCTTAGGGCTTGCCTTCCCAGCTATGTTCTCTGCTAGCTAGTTTTATCTCAAACAGGTCTCTCCATGTAATGGTCGACATAGTTTCATCTGACTCTCTCATAATAAATGATGATGTTCCACAATTATTAAGTATAATAGCACCAACACTTTTTATTTTCTACTCCATATCAACGATTCGTTGAAAGCAACACAGCTTCGCAGATGATAGTGCCCTCCATACCGCCTTCTCTTCCAGGGCTCCAATACCAGACAGAAAGGAACGAGGGAAAAATGTTGACAACATAGATATGGACTGGCAACAATTTCAGAATGGGGATCCAATAACTTGGTAGATTTCAATGCAAACAAAACACAAGCATGCCTCTTCTCTAGGAAAGCCGATCTCACTGTGCCCAAGATAAGCCTTTCAGGAGTAACAATACCTTTGAAGACATCCATTTCGATGCTTGGTATTACTATCAGCAATAACTTTGGGGAAATCACGTGAGATCGATTGCTAAGAGTGATTCCCAAAAACTTGGTTTTCTGTTCCGGGCCAGGAGCTATTTCATTTCCAGTCAGCTGCTCATCATCTATAAGGCACAGATTTGACCTGTCCTGGAAAACTGTTTCCATATTTGGAGTGCAGCATCCAAGCATACCCTGAAACTATTGGATTCTGTCAAAAAGAGGGCAATCCGTTTCGTTGGTGATGCTTCGCTCACAAACTCACTCACTGCTCTGGAACATTGTAGACGAAATGGTGATCTGGCCCTATTCTAAAGATATTTCCATGAAAGATGCTCTTCTGAGATATCAACAATTTTCCATTCATTGGCAGTTCCCGCGAGATTCATCCGACGAGTTGAGGCTTCGCACCCCTTCGTGGTCACTTTGGAGACCTGCAGAACATCTCTTCCCAAAAACTCGTTCATTCAACGAATAGCGAGAATATGGAACACATTGCCAAGGGAGGTGTTACCCGTGGCATATAACCTCCAGAAATTTAAGAACAACACCTATTCGTACCTTATTTCCCTTGGTTCTCATGATGTTTCCTGAACATTATAGGATATCTGTTTTCGTGGAAACCAGAACATAAAAAAAAAATAGTTTGAAACAATTGTACGCGGAAGGTGTCGCAACTGTCGGTACGTCAACTACTTAACCGATCGGGTTGACATTTCCAATACGTGGAACAACCAAAAGAAAACAAATATACTGGGAGAATAGAAATACGTGTAAGTATACAATAGTAGCTATAGGTATAAACACAAGAAATCTTTATGAAATAACAAAAAAATATGTACTCATATACGCGCATAGCCCCAAACGACTGCATAGGTAATCCCGAAACCCTCTGTGTTGGGATAACATAATTTCGTACATGTATATTTCATCTCATGCCCGATTTTGAAATATTGAGAATTTTCCAAAATTTTAATCAGGAGCGTGAGAAATAGGTGGGGACAGGGCTTTCCTTTCTCCAACTTTTTTTTATGCCATTTTCGGCAGTGTGACCAGAAAATATGGAAACTTCATCATTTTCACATAAAAATGATTGTTGAGTTTCGGAAACACTCACCATTTCAAAAGTCTGCTGCGTAATAAGAATTGTAACTTCCATAATATTTTTCAAATTATAATTTTTATTGTTCCTCCCATATGTTGAGACAAACAACAAAGGTAGATGTTGGAACAAATGTATTTTTTATCGAACAATTATTTTCGAGTAAATTTGCTACCCTATTCATAAGGAAAAAACACTATTTTTATTACGCAGAATACTCTTGAAATCGATTTATTCCGAAAATGGACAGTGCCATCATTACTGAACAGGAGTATTATTTTTCAGAAGAGATCATGATTTTACCATATTTCCTGATCCAACTGCCAAAGATTGCTTAGAAAAAAATTTGGTTGAGAAATGCCACTAGCCCTACCTATTTTCCACGCTCTTGATCAATATTACAGAAAACACCTTTGGAATATACTATCCCTACTTAAACAGTGTGTCTCACTTACCATGCTCACCATGGGTATCTTTTTAACGGTGAGAGATACGAGGTCGGTTAAATGACACCAAATGTGGAGTTTGTCAAGGCCAACTATGATGTGAAGAAATATTCTGATGAAATCTATTCGTTTTTGTTTTGTACACAAAAAACAGATTTTGATCATTTTCATGTCTCCTCCGCAACTTCTTCATTCATGAAAATATTCAAATAGGAATTTCACATTCTCATGGCAGTTTTTCAAAGTGATTTCGAAAAAAATATGAAATTTATACCAACTCTTCTAGAATTCGAGATATCAGCACCAACTTTAGTTTTTCAAATGTAGGTCATAGCTCACTATGACCTAGTTACAAATAACTTTTTTTTCTCTCTCAGATGATATGTCGCAGTAATAGTTTTGTGTTGATAACAACAGAGTTATCGTCATTTATACAAAAACAAAAAATTATTTGGAAGCCGCCATCTTGAATTTATGAATTTCAACGAAAAAATCATGATCTCCGACCTCGAAAACCCCCACTTACCAATTTTGAATGGAATCGGACCAAATCTTGTCCGCCATCTTGAAGCAGCCATTTTTTTTCATTTCAACAAAAATTCCATTATGGATACCTGCCAAATTTCAAGTTAATCGGAGTTATGGAATTTTTGATGAAATTTAAAAAAAAGGCTGCTCCAAGATGGCGGACAAGATTTGGTCCGATCACATTCAAAATTGGTAAGTGGGGGTTTTTGAGGTCGGAGATCATGATTTTTCTCGTTAAAATTTATAAATTCAAGATGGCGGCTTCCAAATCATTTTTTGTTTTTGTATAAATGACGATAACTCCGTTGTTATCAACATAAAACTATCACTGCGACATAATAATATCATCTGTGAGAGAAAAAAAAGTTATTTGTAACTAAGTCATAGTGAGCTATGACCTACATTTGAAAAACTAAAGTTGATGCTGATATCTCAAATTCTAGAAGAGTTGGTATAAATTTTAATTTTTTTTTCGAAATCACTCTGAAAAACTGCCATGAGAATGTGAAATTCCTATTTGAATATTTCCATAAATAAAGAAGTCACGGAGGAGACATGAAAATGATCAAAATCTGTTTTTTGCGTACAAAACAAAAACGAATAGATTTTATAAATTTTTTTTTCACATTATAGTTGGCCTTGACAAACTCCACATTTGGTGTCATTTGACCGACCTCGTATCTCTCACCGTTAAAAAGATACCCATGGTGAGCATGGTAAGTGGGACACACTGTGTATACACTGAAATTCATTCAGATTCAGTGTGTTCAATGTTCAATCTAAAGCAAAATGTAAATGTATTTATGGAAAAACAGTATAAAGTGTGGAAATAAGAGTCACCCGAATGGCTGACTGAAATATCTTATCTCTAGATGATAACAGACACATGAATCAGGTGAAAACAACAGATATATCGAGACAGTATATTTCAAGGTGATACACAGTGAATGTGAATGTTCTGAAATAGTGAAAACATTGCAGACAGTAATCGAAAATTCAGGATGATTCCAGATGCGGAATTGCAGTTTGGCATGAAATGCATCAAGTTGATGTTGTTTGTTGCAAATTTTATGTTCGTGGTAAGATTTGTTGATTATTAGGAATATTCACTCATACGATTATGATTTGACTATATACCACATAGGTACGTCATCGATCATGCATAGTTATTTCATCAGATAAGGAACATGAATATTTGCACACAAAAATGGGCATTATCAACATAGAAACCTTTCGAAAAATGGAACAATAACTTCGTTGAAATACTCGAGTGATCGCTGTTATAAGTTTATAAAATCATCTTTCTATGCATATGGGATCAACTTTGGCACCAAGATTGTTCCTACTCCATATCAATTATCTGTTGGGTACAACCATAGGTGCAAACGCTCACCCTATTCACTGCTCTGCAGACGATCGTATCCCCCATACTGCCTTTTCTTCCAGAATTTCCATCTCTTCCCAGGAAATAAAGAACTAACGACAAATCAGGTCAACGCTGTCGATATGATCTTGCCGAAATTACAGCTCAGGGATCGCACAACCTAGTTTTGATTTCAATGCTACCAAAACTCAAGCCTATATTTCCTCTAGAAAGGCGGAACTCAGTATGCCTGACATTGTAATATCTGGCACCACCATCCCCACCATATCTATGCTCGGTATTTTCATCATCAACACTCTTCCATGGGATAATAATCATGTCAAATCCATCGCAGCAGCTGCTCCGCAAAAACTCGGATTCTTGTTCCGTGCGAAAAGCTACTTCACACCTCAATAGCTTCTCATGATCTACAAAGCGCAGATACGGCCTGTTTCAGAATACTGTTCCCACATATGGGGTTCTGCACCAAAACATACGCTGATGCTCTTAGATTCCATCCAGGGATGAGCCATTCGCCTGGTGGGTAACGCCACAATCACTCACTCTTTGACATCATTGGAACACCGTAGAAAAGTCGGCAATCTTCCATTTTTATATCGATACTTCCACTGGAAATGTTCCTCGGAAATCTCTGCTATCATCCCTTCACTAGCAATACCAGTCAGACGAACTAGACAAGCCCAGTCAGCACATCCTTTCGTTGTCTACCTCGAATGATGTCGAACAGCACTTTATCAAAACTCCTCCATCCATAGAACGGCTAGGCTCTGGAATTCATTGCCTGAGGAAGTATTCCCAACAACATATAATCCTCAGAGGTTCAAAAAAAAATCCAATACCTACCTCCTGTCCCTATCCTCCCTAGGAACGCACAATGTTCTTTGAACATTATAGGGATTTCCTTTCGTGCGCTCCAATAGTTAAAAAAAACTTTTCTATGAAGAAGAATGCAAATGCTCTACCTCAGAAGATTTTGTTTTCAAATTCTTATCGTGTGTGATCAACCCAGACAGCACTGGATATTCCTAGAATATTCTCTAAATATTCTAAAAGAGAAGAATATATTCCGAATATCCTTCGAATATTCCTGGAATATATACGCGCCTCTGGAACATTCAAGGAATATTCAAATGTGAATATTCTAGTAATATTCCAAAATGAATATACGAGGAATATTCCAGAAGGAATATTCTAAAGTGAATATTCCTAAAATATTCCAGTTGGATAGTGCAGGAAATATTCAGGTATGAATATTCCAGGAATACTCCCAACTGAATATTCTGTTCCTGTATATTCATGGAATATTTCAATAATATTCCCATGTGTTACAATATTTTATAGATGTGAGTCATTGATTTTGAAATCTGTGGTAGAAGTCCATCGTATTTCAAAGTATTGGTTATATTACCAGGTATCAAAAACACAAAGTCGTCTCCACAATTTTGATAGGAAGTGATCAAAGTACTCAAAGATCATCGTACATGTTATGAGCCCATATGGAACTGAAAGTGTTTATAATCCGCTTCTGAACTACGCAATTCAATGAATTGTTATATGTACAGTATTATTCAACTCGATGACTGGCCCAGTGGTTGAAGCGTTGATCTGACAGTCTGAAAGTCCCGAGTTCGAGTCCATCTTGGGTCAGCTTTTTTCAATTATGAATATGTATTAAGGAATATTCCCGGATTATTCATTTATTCATATTCCTGTATTATTCCTGGAATATTCCGAATATTATCTGTATATTCCTAGAATATTATATGTACATTCTGATTATATAGGGAATATTCCTTGTGTAATATTCCGGGAATATATAAAATTTTCCCCACCAGGACATTCAGGGAATATTCCATAGATGATATGTATATCCCTGGCATGTTCATGAATATCCGCAATATCCAAAAAGAATATTCTATGAATATTCATGGAATATCTGGTGCTGTCTGGGATAGATATAAATCAATATTCGTCGTGGCATATAGCCAGAAAAGTAGTTGTTTTCTGTTGAATAAAGCGAGAAAGAATCTAGTTTTTCTTTATTTTCATAATCATTTTTTCGTTTTCAAAAATATATCTGAGAAAATTCCTTTTCAATGCATTCATACTGCATACTCTATCGATCCACTTATTCACTTCACATCTCAGAATAACAAATCACTGCTCATGCGCGATCGTATTCAAAAAACAAACTAGAAGACCTCTGGGAAACACATCAATTGTCAATTGTCGAAAAAGTTATGTCAATAAGATGCATCTGATAGACTTATTTCATTGATGACTTTATCTGATGGCATGTCATAATGACAACGTTATGTCACTCAATTTTGATGACATAAGGAAGCTCATTATGGGACTAAGTACCATAATGAATTCATTATGGGACTAAGTACCATAATGAATTCATTATGGTACTAAGTACCATAATGAAATTCTATAAGGAAAACATGGTATGGTTTGATCAAAAAAGTTTATTCAAAATGCATAACTATGTACAAAACTATTTATTATAAATGGTAAAAGAACAATTACTACAATTTGTAATATTAATATAATGGCAAAGCACAGCTCATTCACCTACTAATATTTGAAACTACACAATACTAACTCCTTTAAAAATAGTTGTCATTGTGACATGTCGAAAATGCAGCTTTTAATTTTTCGAAAATGTATTGATATAAATGCCATCAGATAAAATTTTGTATGTAATACGAATCATAAACAATCATTATGGCACACGCCGTGTTATCGGACTCGGCTACGCCTCGCCCGATAACATTCACGACTTGTACCATAATGATCGTCTTTATGATCCTTATTACATAAATAACTATTGAAACATTGAGGAACCCAGATCCTTCATTCATAGTTCAACCAGTACTGTTTCAGTTTCAGTGATATTTGTAAAATAAGGAAGCTCATTATGGGACTAAGTACCATAATGAATTCATTATGGGACTAAGTACCATAATGAATTCATTATGGTACTAAGTACCATAATGAAATTCTATAAGGAAAACATGTAATGGTTTGATCAAAAAAGTTTATTCAAAATGCATAACTATGTACAAAACTATTTATTATAAATGGTAAAAGAACAATTACTACAATTTGTGATATTAATATAATGGCAAAGCACAGCTCACTCACCTACTAATATTTGAAACTACACAATACTTACTCCTTCAAAAATAGTTGTCATTGTGACATGTCGAAAATGCAGTTTTTAATTTTTCGAAAATGTATCGATATAAATGCCATCAGATAAAATTTTGTATTTAATACGAATCATAAACAATCATTATGGCACACGCCGTGTTATCGGACTCGGCTACGCCTCGCCCGATAACATTCACGACTTGTACCATAATGATCGTCTTTATGATCCTTATTACATAAATAACTATTAAAACATTGAGGAACCCAGATCCTTCATTCATAGTTCAACCAGTACTGTTTCAGTTTCAGTGATATTTGTAAAATGGATCATACCCATTGATTCACCAATGCTGTGAAAACAGTTTCATCTCAATTCACATTAACCCATAGGAAATATGGCAATAATTTTCGTGTTTTTTCATCCAAAATAAATAGTGCCAATAGTTTATGCCATCGATTAATTCAGTGGGCCATTGATTCGCCAGCTATTTCGTATTTGCTGAGGAACTATGATAATGAATTCTAAATGATCTGATTGATGGGTCAATGACCTTCAATCACAATGGACAGACTCAATTTACCTTGAAACATCGACAGCACTATTGTCCCATTCCATCATCATCATTTCAATAATTTTCACAATTTAAATTGTAATAAAGATAATATAATGGGTATGAAACAATGAAAATTAACTTGGACTGGATCTTATCATTCATCAGATAAGCTCATGTTGATTATCGCGAAGTGAAAGGCAATAAATGTTTTGGTGATATTCTATCTCTGTTATCATTTTTCCAGATTCTTTGGGATTTTCTCTCCTCGGTTATAAAATATAGAAAAATAAGTATTATTTCAATCCACGTGTGGACAGGACCAATCAGTTGATTTTCCTGAAAATGTCACTGCGTTAAACATTTTTCTATCTGAGTGCCTAAGAAGAAAAATCATTCGATGATCATAAGGATGGTCACTTATGGATGGAAAAACTGATGATTTTCTTCTTCGGGAAAACAATGTATTCCTACCTCGATCAGATTTAATGAGTATATGTTTCTACATGACTATTGTTGCAGCAGGGAATATGCAGTTGTGATATTTTATAGGATATTTGGAATTGACGAATAGTTCATTCCAAAAAATAAATAAGAAAATTTTTTCTTGATATTTGGCCATGTTCTAGATATTGCCGTAATCGCAATATCAATCAACAGAAACGGAACTCTTATTGGCTGATTGACCAGATCAAATGTGGATATATAATTGAATGTAACATTGTAGTTATTGAATTATAATCATATTATGTTGTTTCATAACTTCGAGAGGTGACAGAGCGTCTCAAGAAAATGGAGAATTTTTAAAAAACGAAAATCGATGATGGCTTCGTTTGCGAGATACAGGGGGATGAAATTACAAATGATTATATATGTCGACTTGTTCTGACCCCGGCTAACGCCATCGGGCCATTATTCACGCCGCAGGCCATAAACGCCTACTTTACGCCCTTGATACATGAATAACTATAATGAAACATCCAAG